ATATATATATATAATTTAGTATGTAGAGTTTAACTAATCAATGGTAATAATAGTATGAATTTTCTGGGCTTCAATAAACAAAGTATTTTAGATGATTGGCTCCAAAGTATTTTAGATGATTAGCTCATTTGTCTGGGATAGTGTTGTGAGACTCATTTCCAGATAAGAGAACTGAGGCTTAGAAAGTGTTAGTAACTTACTCTAGGAGTTGGTGAAGCTCAAGTCAGTGCTTACTCTGAAAGTACATGCTTTTGCCTACTAAGCTATACTGTACAAGTCCAATTTTCAAAGGAGTCTCCATACCACAAAACTTCTACCTAATGAGATAAAAACATCTTTAATTATGTATGCTATTCCATCACAAAAGAAGTGTTTCCATTGTTTCCTATTAGCAAAATAATTTGAGTTGACTCATGCTATTTGGAAATACAAATCCTTTCTGCAGTATTTTGCATGCTAGTGTTAAAAATTTATACTGTACCTTGTTTTTATATTTCTAAAAACATTTAATCAACTTTTAATGATTGACATATTTAGCCCATTACCAAATGCATTTTACAGGCATGTCGAATGTGCACACCTCTTGCTGTTTACTAGCATAAGAAAGTTGTTTCCCCTTTTTAAATTAATTATTTCAAGGTAATGCTTTATGTTATTTTCATCCAAGTTCAGAGTACTTGTTATTTACTATATAATGGAAGTATATTATAGTGCTGGTGCTGTACAAGCTCTAGAGATGATACCAAGGGCACCGTGATCGTCCTTCCAACACTTACACTGTAGAACGTGCTTGAGAGAAGAAATGGGAGCAAAACATGAACAGCAGGCAACGTTAAGTAACAGATCCCCACAGAGCCAATACACAGAGAAAAAAGTAGCACCACTTCAGTGAGAGGCAACTTAGCTCAAGCTGATGATCTAAATCCAATACTGGAGTCTAGGGTTTTGTTTTGTTTTGTTTTGGTCTTTGCCAAAAATAACTTTTTTGCCTTGAAGCAATTTAAAAAGCCAAAAGCCTCCTGGGTATGGTATCCTTTAGGTATATGCTACTAAACTAGTTCACTTTCCCAAAAATCATTATCAGGGAGCATTTCATTTGAGGCTTACTGGGAAACATAATGCTGCTTCAGTATTTTTGTTCTCTCTTTCTCTCTCTCCCTCTCTCTCTCTCTCCCCTCTCTCCTTCCCTCTCTCCCTCTATCTTTCTCTCTCCCCGCCCTCTCTCTGTCTCTCTCCTTTTTAAAATCTTTTACATAATAATGACTTTTGCTTTAGATTGCTTTTGAAGCTTACCTGAGGGGGTTGGGAAATAAAACCTTCAAGGTTATATTAGGTTATATTTTTAGAAGGCATGGGGTTAAAATCAACCTTTTGACCTTATCTGAATTGATTCCTTGTTTTGAAATTTAAGAAGGAAGAAAATAACCTTTTTGTGTATTTCTTATTTGCTCTTATAGTTCTATAACCTTTCTCAATTATGGCTTAGTACTTCAGCCAAGAATGGCGGATGTGTAGAATCCACTTACCTAGAAATGCAGTATGATTTTATGACTTAGAGAGTCCAGTCATCTTCAATTTTTGCTTCTGATTAGATTTTCCCAGCTCAACATTATTATGTAATGGTCCCTGTGTAATGATCTATATAAGATACAGTAAATTGCTAAAAATCCATTCCTATTATTTCAACCTCCAATATTATAGAGGGAATATTGTCTTTACTAGAATATGTATTCTACTGGAGCAATTTTCAAAATGTCCTTCCCTTCTCAATTTTGCAGCAATTCCTACTATCAGTGCATAGGCAATAGCAGGATTTTAATTAAGTAAATACTAATTATATTAATACCATGTATGTCTGCTACATGGGTCAGAGTAATAGAGGATATTAAAATATATAATCAATCACAATCATTAATAATTTAAATAGTGAGGTTCAAAGTAAAAGAAACCAATACCTAATATGCAACTACTATAGTTTTCATAGGAAAAGTTTTAAAGGAAAATTGTTTTCAACTAAATAACCACAAAACTAGATAGTGTATACATATTAGCAATATTTTCATTAAAAATTAACTCTACCTCCAATTTCTGTTTGGAAGAACTATATTTGCTATCGTTAGCTATTATGATTTTTATTTTCATTCTCTTTGGAACATTTACAGTGAGGGCATTTTAAAATCCCTTTTTTGTTTGCATTGGTAAGCTGTTTGTTTATAGCTTTTAGTTACTTTTAGCAGACCTGAGAAATGTATTATTTGGAGTTGTCTAATATCTTTCTAAAATCAAAATGATGTGTTGATGGAGAAATTTCTATCCCCCACCTCACCCAGAGAGTGCTTAGGAAAATGGCCTTGAGTTTTAAGAATATTCACTGCTTAAAGAAAAGTGGTTTCAAAAAAAGTTAATTTGGAATATGTCTTTGTTTTTCCAAAACATATAATTGGTTATAAGGGACCTGAAAAAGTAAGAAATTCTTATGGCACCCAAATTTACAAAATGTAAACATGGAAATAAAGTGTTTGTAAATAGGGAAGGGGTGAAGGGAGGGCAGGGACAAGGGGAAAAATGAGAACCAAGACCTGTCATGTAGAGGTACAAGATCCCAACAATGAAAGTAACTGTACTGCATCCCTAAAATTTACCAATAAAAAAAAAGAACAAAATAGCAACTATTAGATATTTACACATGTGTCCTATTTATTTAACTGAATTATAAATTTTGTATGTTGAAAAATAGTGAAAGAGAAAGTTAGTATAAACTTTTAATAAGTATTATTTATAACCACTTATTTTTTTTCTCCTTTTCTCTCTCTCATTCTCACTCCCCCACCCTTCTCCTTCTCCAACAGACACAACCATTATATTGCACAATAAGAAAAAGTTTTTTGGTAACAGGGTGTTATGAATCTAAGCATCCTAATCTTTATGAGTAATCATCACAAAAAATAAGTCACCATCTCCCTTTTTTCCTGAAATAATCTTGATGATTAGAGGGAAGATGCTCATAAAGTATTTCACTTACACTTACTAGTGACATTTCAGCCCTTGCTGAATGTTTTTGTGTTTTGTTTTGTTTTTTAAGACAAAGTCTCATGATGTAATTCAAGTTGAACTTAACTTACTTTATAGCACAGACTAATCTCTATCTCACAGTGATCCATCCTCCTGCCTCAGCCTCCCAGGTGCTGGGATTACACGCATACGTACCAAGCCTGGCTTTCCTAAATTTTTGAAACTATTTCTTTGAAAAGACAGTATGAATAACTAAATTCAATATGCTTCTCCTTTGGAGACATTCGGCTGTCTTATAACAAAAATGTAATACCCTCCACAGCCCAAGTGGTCCTTGTTTGTCTGTGAGATTTAGGAATATTTCAGCATCTTCATATTGACTGTGTGATTCTTGTTTGGCTTCTTTAGTAAAAGATGTACATCACCTGCTTTGGTTCAGAAACTGTTAACACAAAGGAAAATTCATCAAATTCAACAAGAGCAGAGCAGTCTGCTACATGCCCCACATGAAACTTATGTTGATTCTAAGCTGTTAAAGTTGCAGTGTCATTGACAAGGAACCAGTATAGTATATTTAGAACAACCATGAAGGTTTTAGATAATAATTTTTGACAGAATCTAATTCCTCCTGCCTCTGCCTGGAAATTATCATTGCAGTCACTTTTATACTTTTTCGCTTTATTTTAATTTTTCTTACATTTTTAAATAAGGGTATAACCTTATATAATTCTTCTCTCAAAGGATGACAGCCTATGAATATCATAAAACCAAACTGTTAGAAAGTTCTCTCTAGTTAATTATCAACCCTTCATCTCCTAAAACAACAAACCTCAATTAGTCTTTTAGACGAAGCACCACATATGCTCCTCCCTGTCAGTCCTTAATTAAGGAATCAGAAAGTACACGAAAAGCAAAACTTTTCTAAAAAAAAAAAGTTTATGATGATGAAGATGTTAATATAGATTTCTCAAGATACTCCAAAAGTAAAGCTTTCAGAAGTCACACACCTGGCAATAGGAACTCCATTGTTTGATCTGACAAGTCACCATGCTCTACGACGCTGGGAACATAAGGAAAAGAGAATTTCAAGAAGGTCAGCTTACTCGATTGAGAGACTAAAATTGTTTTTCTAATGCCAAATGAAGGGGTTAAACAGGACAGGTCGCAGCCACAGGTAGAGAGAGAGCCAGAATTATGATGAACCACTGCAAAATTTCAGATGTAGGGGAACATAATCACAGTCCAGTTTGGTTAGGATTGCTTTCACTGCACTAATTGAAAGAGGAAAAGAGAAGGCAAGGAGTCCTATATGGAGGCTGTTGCAGGAATCAAAATGAGAAATGAGTCATTTGGAAATAGGACTTTAAATAGTGGAAAAGACCTAAATTATATGTGGGCAGTAAATCAAAATGAGAAATGAGTCATTTGGAAATAGGACTTTAAATAGTGGAAAAGACCTAAATTATATGTGGGCAGTAGAATCAGAATTACTTAACTTATGACTTAAAAAATAACAACGTTCATGATAGCCATTTGCTGGTGAGGCTGTTGGTAAAATGGAACCCTTCCACATTGTTAGTGGGAATTTAAACTAGTCCAACCAGTACAGAAATCAGTACAGAAATGCCTCAAAAACCTAAAACTAAAAATTCCATTTGACTCAGCATTCCCCTTCTAGGTATCTTCCTGAAAGAATAAAAGACATCATAGTACAGCAATGCATGCATACCTATGTACATAACAGTTCAGTTTAAAATAGCTAACATTTGGAGGTATCTTATATGTCCACCAATAGATGAATGGATAAAAAAATGTGGTATTTATACACAATGGAGTACTACTGTGCTATAAAGGATAAACTTGAGCCATTTATAGGAAGATGGATTCACCTTAAGACATAATGTTAAGTGAAATAAATCAGACACACAAACAATGATTTCTCTTTTATAAGAAACTTAAAATATAAATAAAGAGTAAAATAAAAGATGGATAATAAGAAGTAGAGAGATAGCTCTTTTTCAAATGGAAAGGGAATCAAGAGATGGAGGAAGGATGATGAGGGGAGAAAAATGGATTTTAAAATGAATCAAAATGTGCTATGTACATGTAGGAATGCAATCATTATGTAATCCTAACATGTACCAATAAAAAAAATGAGAAAAATTAACTTAATTTTGACCAAAAGAAAGGCCCAAATGCCTCGCCGACCATTGCCTTGATTGAACAATGATGGTGACTTTCACAAAGGATAGAAATCTCAAAGAAAGGCTTAGTCTTGGACAAAATAAATTCACGCTCCTTTTATGAAGTGATATGTCCTATCAGTGATAAATATAGAAATCTAGATAGAAAACTGGGCTATAGCTATAACGTGTGGAAATCAGAAGCAAATAATGACAGTGAAAGCATAGAGTGTGTAGAGCACAGAAAAGAGGATTCAAGATCTAACTTAGGGGAAATAAGTTGGGGATGTGGTTCAAGACTCCAGAGGTATTTTCTGTATCACAACTCTGATTCAGAGACTACTGCAATGAGAACGTTATTCTGCTCTGGAGAAAATTATTTCCCATGGGATACAGATTCGCTCTGTTCATCAGTTTGAGCTTCAGTTTCCTTACCTATAAAATATATATATATATAACAGTACTCATATAGTAAAAGTATTTTAAGACCTAAGTAACAAGCATTCCAAAACCTAAATTAGGTAAGTTGTGTTAAGACCTCACAATTTAGCACATAATAAACTCTTAAAGTTATATATTTTGCTTGACCCCCAAAGCTTGTTAAAAATTGGACTCTTTATCAGCTCAGCCCCCAAATTACTTTTCTTCATGTATCTTCTATCTTTACCAAGCCATAAAACCTAGGTTTATTACTCTGTCTTCCCTCCACGGTCACATCTAATCTCACCCCAGTCCTGTATTCCTGAAAATCAGTCCGCTTCTTGTCCAGCACTACCATTGTTTCCATTAAGTCCATCCTGATCTCTGGTCTAGTTCACTGAAAACCTCCTCTGACTATCTAACACAATGACCTAAGTGAGTTCTTCTAAATGGCAAATTTATTATCATTTACTTGCTAAAATCCATTTTGTTTTTGCAAAAAAAGTCCAAGTCATACATAATCTCAAGAGATGATATATTTTAACTTAACCTTCCAGTCTCTTTGAAGAGTGTATTCTAGCCACACAAATTTCCTTTCTTCCAGGTCCCATTTCCTCTCTTCACCCCACTCCTCTGACCCTCCTAGCTTCTACATGACTTTTAAGATTCAGCTTCTCCCCTCTGAGAAGCCTTCCTGAGACTGGAAAAATAATACTGTTGTGTGTCACACAGCACACTGTAGTCATAATCTTTGGTCTCCTTCACTAGGTTATGTATTTCCTAAGACAAGGTATATCTTTCTCATTATGTTATTCTTATATATAGAATGACCAATAATATGTTTTAAATGATTAATGTCTATCTCTCTGGATGAATAAGTTAAAAATACACTAGAGTGCTGGGTGTGGTGGTGCACGCCTGTAATTCCAGCACCCAGGAGGCTAAGGCAGGAGGATCCCTGTGAGTTCGAGACCAGCCCAGGCTCCATAGTGAGTTCCA